ATTCGGAACTTGATATACAAACGGGACTTCTTTTATCCGGGAGTCAAACAATACAGTAAATGTTGTTATTTAAAAACGACTAAAGTATGTACTTCTATTTAGACAAAGAAGTCGTTATGGGGATTCATTCTGGTATGATGATGAGTTCTACATGTACCTCCTACGAGTTATGAGCAGTTGGGCGATCTACTACGATGTCACTTACCTGCGTAAGCGATATCTATCATTAAAATTGTGAGAAAGCAGCATCGCAATTGTAAGAAGTTCATGTTTTAGCCGCGATGACTAAGTTGCCGCAAGAGACAAAGCCTGAATTCGCGGCTCGAACTCAAGCCGCCATCTGCGAAGCTGTCGGTGTTCCCGCTGGAGAGTTTGACGGATCTTTGTGGTACAGGTGAGCAGATATATCTCAATGTTTGGTCTAATTTGAAGAAAAGGTTTCTAAACGTTAAGCAAGGCTAATTGCTTGCCATCAAATGGTTGGTAGTGCTGGAAAACACATTACTCTTTAAAAGAAAATTTTAAAACTTAAACTTACATGAAAAAGCAAAATATGTTGCAATTAGTGGTTTCACCCCATGAAGCATATTATTTTTTGTTTTACGGTGCTTTGAAAGTGCAAAAGAATGAGCCAAAATAGTTTGTTGAGAATTAACCTTTTTTCCAAATGAAAATTGTTGTGTTATCAGCTTTTGTCAAGCATCTGAGACCCATTGAATGGCGTGATCGAACTTTTTTGTTTTGATTACGCGCCATCTTTTCCTTTAATTCTCTAAATTTCTAATGTTATCAGGACTCAACATTAAATATTCGAGTCTTCTAACACGTACTATGCTCTTCTCTATTTTTTCTTTACTGAAGGTACGCCAATTTCCGGTAGATAAGCCATACGCCAAATTGAAAATGATATTCTAAAAGCACGTAGCATCGTATAACGTGCCGAAGTAGGTGTTTAAAATGCTAGCAACTGTACTTCAAGTTAGATTGCTATTGTTAATTGCTAGATGAAGCTATAATCACTGCGATGCTTGCATCAGTATTGTTAGCTACGGCTTATTAGTATGAAAAACTTAAGCACCAAAAAATGGGCTATTAACTGCAGTTTATACCGGTGCATTGGAAAATGACATAATCAAAGTGTTTCGCCGCATCACTTGATTCGAGTTCGAAGTCTCTGTGTTTCTTATACCTACATACATATACCAATTTATCTATCTTTTTAGTCCCATTAGAGTTCGCCGCTGCATAGCTTTTTAAATTAGATTAAAGTTTCTAATTGTAAGGAAAACCTGTTATACTTCCTGTTAATCCAGAGCCAACTTAAGCCCTCTTATTTTCAATTTCCATCCTAAACATTTTCAAATTTTCTTTTCAGTAAATCGGTGCAAGAAAGCCTACTGACTTCCCAGAGGGAGATTTGTGCCAAAGCTCTGCTTTCTTACTACTTTGGTGAGAAGGAGACAGAAGATGATGCTAGCATCCTAAACCAGAGCTCACCACCTCATGTACAGGATGATCGACCAACTGTGATAAGCTAATTATCATCATTTTTAAACATACTTGTAAATAATCGGATAAACAGGAAATAAACATAAGCAAACACTTTTTTATTTTTTTTTCCTTTCGTTTTGGGTGGTTCGACGGTGTCCTATTCGTTTGCCCATTCAGAATCGATTCCAATTGCTCGTAACTTCAATAAGGGATTAGATCAAATAAGTCAGGTAAAGAGAT